CAGAATCAGGACAACCATAAGGCCGAGGCCTCTACGTCCTGGAAGATTGGATTGGATTGGTTCGTTCTTCGGTATGGTTATAACGGGGTTTTAAATCGCTCGATTTGTTTTTCCGCGGGCTCATTGACCTAGAAATGTGTATTCGGGTTCCGTAGTAAATATGACAACTGCTGGAGTATTTCATTTGGATATGCCGGATGCGGCAAGCTTTGAAGAAGGAGAGGAAGTTACAGATCAGTATACCCCTTGTACTCCAGGAATCGAGGTTCGTATGCCAATTTGACAGTAAACTATTGTACCACAGGAAGAATTCCTGGAACATGGACCTTTGAAACCAGAAGAGTGAGTCTTCTCTTGAATGCATATTTCGTCTTAGAATTAACGGGGCTGTGGAAAGAGTTGAAATTTGTGAAGAAACAGTTAATCCGGGCCAACCTAAGGTTCGTCCTCATGACTTTCAGCTCCTCAAAGTTTTGGGAAAGGGCGGATACGGCAAGGTACCTTCTTCGTGTTCTGCGATATATGCTCCAGGTTTTTCTTGCTCGGAAGATTGATACCGGACAAACTTATGCGATGAAGGTTTTGAAAAAAGCATCCATTGTGACCAACGCCAAAGACACTGCACATACGAAAAGCGAAAGAAATATCTTGGAGATGATTAAGGTATATTACTCTTCAATTTTCTGACTTTCACAGCATCCGTTCTTGGTGCAACTGCACTATGCCTTTCAATCTCCTGGAAAGTTATATCTAGTTCTCGAGTTCCTAGCTGGCGGTGAACTATTCATGCAACTGGAGAAAGAAGGCGTTTTCATGGAAAACCAAGCCAGGTCAGCTCTCGATGCCTTCCAGTCCCCCCCCACCTACTTTGCGATTTAGTGAGGAATTCTGTATTTAATATTAGGTAAACCCATGTTTGTGCTATACTTTTCTAACTGGGGTCGATGCCACCACTCGTGTCCCGTTCAACCATCTTATAGCCAGCCTCTGAATACATACAACTAACACTCTTCGACACTACCAAATATAGATAACTGAAAAATGTGCCACAACATGAGAACGAAAAGAAATCCGTTATGTGTTCATAGGTTGTGGGCATGTTACTTCCCGGTTGCCCTGATCGAAGAAAGCACTCGTGACTAACGTTGGTTTCCAA